ATCGAATTGGCGATGGATTATTTATTTCACAAGGAAATTATCAGTATAAAATAGCGGTAGGAAGAATTTGCAAGATTTTGAATGATGAAAGTGAAGTTTATTTCATTTTGGAAGCCCTGAAAACGACATTTATCCCTTATTTAAGAGCATATAGATTGGGTGAGGTGTTAGAGTACGAATGTTTATCGTTTACTGAGCTCGTTAGCTTCCAAAAATTACATATTTATAGAATAGGTTCGATTTTATGTATAAAGCCTAAGTATGCATTAGTTGAATGTCCCTTGTGATTATCATTAAATAATTAACTGATCGCTTCATAGAATAAATGTCTCATTGTAAGCCTTTTCAACTACCTATTTTTATTCATTTATTAAATTCATTGTAATTTGAATGTTCTTCTGTTGAATCGTTGTATTATATTCAATTAAATTGGTCAAATTATTGTCGATATTCAATGGAATATTAGGTAGGTAAAAAGTTGATTGAAGAAAAAATGTAGAAAAAACTATAGTAGCAATATACCCAAATACAGGAGCCATGGTTCAGTTATTACATTGATTGTCCATTTACTATTGTTTAAAAAAAATATCTTCCTGATACAGGTAGCGGTGTTGAATCAAAATGGCGATTTTCAAAGTCACACGGCACGATAAACCATCTTTGAAAAAACTTGTAAAAGCGGAGACGGTCACTGAGCTCATCGATGCTGCGAAAACAAAATTGTCATTGACGGACACCACATACAAGGTTTCTTCCTTCATTCCCATTTTTTTTTATAATAACTTTATTTGTTTAAGCCAATTTTTAATCCATTGGCTTATTATTTGAATAGATCTTCATGGAGGACCTGACCGAGATAGATGATGATGAAATACTGCAAGAATTGGCTTCAACTAGTAAAGAACAGTTGATGTTAATTCTTGTCCCTGATGGGATTGATTGGGATGGCAGCATAATGACAAAAAACAAACCGGATGTATCTGATGGTAAAAAGTAAATTGAAATGAATAATTCCAACTGTTGGGCCTCATTAATATAAAAAATTTCAATTTTTTACTACTTCAAACTTATTTTTTAGCAATAATGTTCAATTTTTATTGATTTATTTAGAAACATTGATCAATGACCAAGTGCAATCCTTTTATGTTTATTTACCCTATTAGTTACAGAAAATCCAGAGAGGATTCCTCAGCCAGGTCAATCATCATCACGTCAATCTTCCGATTTAGACAATATTTATTGTAAATTGTCATCTTCTGAGCAAAAATCTCTGCGTATTGGAAAGTTCTTGGACTCTGGCGAAAAAAAAAGTCTTATCCATGTCGTTGCCGATTATATGGCGAACGATCTGAAGGACACTTCTCTCACAATGGCAAAGAAAATAAGTCACCGAATAGTCAACAATTACTCAGCTTCATTCACGGTGAAAATTGGGGGTTTCACTCTGCATGGGGCAGGTGCGAGTCTTGGGCAGAAAATTTATGATCGCATCAACTACGTCAAACAAGATCATAACGGAAGTGGCGCTTCACAGTCGTATACATTGGAAGATCCTGAAGAACCAATTAAGAAGCCGAAAGCTCAGGACGAGTATGGCTGTATGGCATACTCACCTGAACTACCTGAAAATGAAACCTGGGAATCCCAGGAAGAGAAAAGATTGGGATTGATTGATTATTACAAATCTTCTGAAGCTGTTGAATCAGTTACTCAATTAATGGCTGACAGTTATTGTTTGCAACGCAAGCATATAAACAAACAAAAGGATTTAGCCAAATTTTTCGCTAATTGGCCGTACAAATTACAAAATCATTATTGCCCACGCAGATCATCTTCTAGGAATAAATTGTGTAGAAACCTGGGAGAAGTCTTTGAATGAGCTGTACGTGCCAATTGTTCATTTTTCAAGGACCAGAGAAATAGTCGCAGTTGATAAATTCAAGAAGAGAAACAAAGGTCAAGATATTCCCGAAGAATTGAGACACATTTATAATGAACAAAAAAAATCCAAGGAATATTGCAATGTCTTCAACAACAAATGCCCATATAAGAACATATTATTTGATTTTATTAATAATTATATCGGATCTAAGGAAAAACTCGAATTGCTTTATGTGCTGATAAATGTGGGACACTAGATCTAGTTACACAATTCTTCGTAAAACACGTCCACTGAATTTTGGATTGTTTGTTTTTCAGGAAGACACAGAAGATGATGAAATCTTGAATTTCGTAGATGTCTTCAATCCAGTATTAATTATTAGAGGTTCGTAATGATGACGAGGTTCAACGAATGTAAGAAAAATAGGGTAATTAATTGAAATTTTTTGTTTTTGCATGGCTTTCAGGAATTGATATACATAACAATTCAGCTTATAGTGAATACGATGTGGTTATCGAGAAAAAAACTATCACCAGAGTCAATTCGTTCCTTGATAGAATATTGATAACATTTCTAATGTACTTCATTTTTGGATTTGCCTACCCACCAGAGATTGAAGGGACTCTGGAAGTGATCCAACCGTTCGTAGAAATGATATTATACGACGTATTTCCTCATTACAACAATAGCCTGACAATTTAGTGGCAAAAATTTTTAAAAAGCACTACAATAGAGCAAATTCATTCATAGTCTCTTTCAGCGCTACTACTGAGTATGATGTTCCTTTTTGAATTTAATGTTTCTGTGATTTAGAATTTCAATGTGGATTGAGGAGCTTCATTTTTTTTTCAATATGATTGTCATTGTCGTTTGAATTTTCCAGATTATTCCTCAAAATTAATCCTCCTTGAGGAACCAAACGAGGTGGTGAGAGAAAGGCAGTCATTCAACATCCAAAGCTCACCAGTTTTGTTCAAGAAATCGACCCATTCAAAGAACTTGACTCCAGCGCCTTATGAATTGATTTTACGATGGATTTCCGTTTTTTTTAATCTTAATCTTATGTTTTCACTTAAGGAATTATATATATTTTCTTAATTTCTATAAATTTTCTTAATTTCACTTATATTTTCTTAATGGTTACTAAAATCATAACTTATGCTCTTCAATATTTTATACTACAAATTCTCAATGACTCAATGACAATGACTTTATGATGGGTCAAATGCAAAAATTGATATCCTACAGGTCTAGCGCTGTTGATTGAATGAGCTTTACCAAAGGCTCACGCTGATGAAGATGATTTCTTCAGGGAGCTTCTTTTGCAGTGCAAGACTGCACAGATTGTGCAGCGCGAAGGCATGAAAAACTATTACTATCTTTGATGTTCTTAAGAGAATAACGTTTAATTGGTTCATATATGTTTATTGTTAATGTTATGAAACGTATTACAAAAAGTCTAAAATGAGTTGTTTTAATATATATATAGTGAGTATATAAGCATATTTCATAATTCCCTTTTTGTGTTAAAAAATGTAAAAGAAAACTGTTCAATTATAAAATTAAAAAATGAACGATAATTTTTTTTCAT